TGATACTGTAGAATCTCAATGAACTAAGGCTCCCTGGTGACACTGAGGGGCCTCATGGAACCAAGGGCCCATTGTAACATTTCAGACCCTAATGGAAGCCAGGAGACCATTATGACACTGCAGATGCTCCTGGAACCAAGGGGCTATTATGACTCTGTGGAAAGTCATGGAACCGAGGGTCCCTTGTGACACTGTGGAACCAAGGAGAGCATCATGACACAGTATAACCAAGGTTCTACTGTCACACTGATTGTCATCATGGCACCAAGGGTTCTTTGTTAAACAGCAGAGCCCCACGTACCCAAGTGTCAATTGTGATACTGCAGGGCTTCATAGAACTGCCAGTCCATTGTGACACACTGGAGCCTCATGGAACCAATGGTCTGTTGTGACACTATGGAACCAAGGGCATATTGTGACACAGATGGACACCATGTAACCAGGGTTTTTGTGACACTGCAGAACCAATGACAGCATTTTGACACCCCAGAACCTCATGGAACCAGGTGTCTCATGTTACATTGTTACAAATCTGCTTAATTATAGCAGAGCAAAAAGGCCTCTCTGAATTGCGGGAAGCACTTCAGGTTCAAATATTCCCCAAACACGATTAAAATTCAAACTAAGTTTGAATGTTGGTAAGGAAAAAAATCCTGTATTTTCTCTTTATTAACTGTAAAAGGGACAAAAAGAAAGAAAGGGCAAAGAAGAGAAAAGCTAAAAAAAGCTAAGATTACTTTAAAAGCATAGGTTAGTTTACCAGCACACTTACTGCATTTCATCCAAGATGGGAAAGGGGTGGAGGGGGAGAGGGCAAAACAGTTTTTGCCTTTACTTTTTCTCTGCTGCTCCAAGTGGCTTTATCTGCATTTCCTGGTCTCAGGGCTGACAGCTTAGCTGGAATGCAGTCTGTTGCCTTCTGAAATGAAGACAAAGTGCGTGATTCCTGCAGTTCACATGTGGCACTGGTACACATGCTTGCTCACTCCAGGAGTGCAACAGCACAGGGTTTTTCCCCCAGGATAGTGGCATCTTGGCTCTTGGAGGCTTGCCTCAGTGTTGAGACATATCTAAGACACCCTGCAATGAGTAGTCTCCTTTAAAGGGTTTTAACAACTCTCCTCCACCAATAGGAAATGAATACTAATAGAGGAGAGTAAAAGCAAAAAACCAAACCAACGATTTATTAATGACAGACTGCTTGCAGACTCACCCCCTACCCCACACAGGCAGAGGAACAAAGACCCAAGAATGCCCACAGAATGGGGAAAACATTGAAGAAATATCCCTTCCCGACACATTGTGTGAGAGATGGTGCCAGCTGTAATGCTGAGGGAAGTGTAACTTCCATGTAGGAGTTCCAGAAGAAGGCAAACACCTGGCGGCTCTCTGGCACCGACCTCCTCTCCAAGGCAGATGAAGCAGCTCAGCTGGAGTCTCTTGCTTTGCTTTCTCTCTCTGGCTTGGCTCCCTGGGGCCTGGGGCTGGAATGGGGAAACTCTGCTCTTGCTGGTTCCCACTCCTCCAGTCTCAGCCCAGCAGCTGAAAGGTGCTACAGTAGCTTCTCCAAGCCAGGGCAAGGAACAGCTTTTTGCCTGAGCCAAGAAAACCAAGCTAGCCAAGCAAAACCAAGCTGCACAGCACCATGGAAGATCTGAGTGGTGAGGCTTCAAAAATGCCCACCAAAATGCCTAAAATTCCCCCCTCTCCAATCCCACACACACCCAGTCCCAGGGTAACAGCAACCATTTTGGGCATAAACAGAAGATGATGGAATAGATCATCATCATAAATCACTTCAAGACAAGGCTTCAGGCTGGTTTCCCAGATGTAAAAAAGGCTTTAGCAGGCAGTTGTGAAGGAAAGGTGCGGGGCATTGGCCGGAGTTTTTACCCCCCTTCCCTTCTTCCCTAGTTTAGCACAGGTTTTGCCTTCTTTTTTATGGACCTGTCTTGATTTAGAGACAAATTTAGGAGAAAAACACTCTGGCATTGCAGAGTCCAGTGTTTCCTTTAACAAAAAAGGGTTCTAACAATCCCTTTCTGCCAAAAAGAGATTAATACTAGTAGATGAAAATGAAAAAAACCCCAATCATTTATTGACAGAGTACCCACACAGCATGGCACAGGGGGGAAAGAAAAAAGAATAAATGCTAAATATTGAATTGTCAGACCTTATCCTGCCCCTGCCTCCCCCCTCCAAACACCCACATTGGAACAAAAAAAGTAAAACAAAAAATAAACCAAAGTGCCAGGGAAAGAAAAAATGAAAGCCCAAAACATGGGCTGTAACGTGTTGGAAGAAAAGCCACATTGCTGGCTTCTGTCTCGGGGAAGGGAAAACAAACCAAAGGGTTCATGCATTAGCTTGGGCAAAACAGATGAGAACCTGGTGAATCTCTGGTGTGAGTTCCCTCTCCACAGCCGATGAAGCTGGTGGATTTGGTGTCCTTTCTCTTATTCACTTGGATTTTCCAAGGGCTGGGGCTGGGATGGAGGGGTCCCTTGCCTTCCTGCTGGTTCCTGGCCAATTTTGTCCCATTGATTGTCCACTCTGATCTCAAACCAAAACCAAACCATCCAATTCAAGGAAAAAAACACTGAAGGATTGCTGTCATGGTCTCCAAGACCAGGGAAAGGTAAAAAACTCAACTTCTTGCCTAAGCTAACAAAACCCAAGCTAGCTAAACAAGAAAAGGAATCCAGGCACGATGGATGCCTGGGCAATAAGGCTTTGAATAAAGTGCGTTAAGGACCCTGTCGTGGTTTTAAAGCAGTAACTAAAAAATTACTAGAAAACTTACTTATTTCTTGCTGTGAGATATGGATTAGAGCAAGAGCAGGCTTAAAACTTAAAAGGAATAAAGAAAGTTTATTAACAAAACTACAAGAATAAGAACACCAGAATAAACTTTCAGAAAACCCTTTTATCCCCCACTACCCACCATTCCCTTGTTCACGTGACAACATAGAGACAAAAAAAACCTTTGGAACTTTGGTGTTTAAAACAGTCCCAATTCCTGCTAGAGTCTTTTCATCAGTCTTTGTAGAGAAACAGAAGTCTCCTTCTGCTAATCTACGGAGTTTCTCACAAGAAAACTATTTCTGTTACAGTTTTCTATTTCTCTGATGCCAGCTGCCTGGAAATCTGCCATCCGATTTTCTCCTCCCATTTCACATCACTCTGAGGTGTGTATGGGTCATGAGTCTAGAGATGTCATTTTAAGGATGAATTATTCAAAGGCAAAAGTCTTCTTCATCTGTCTCTGTGAGCTTCTCTGGAAACAGTTTTCTCATTGCCCTCAAGGCTTCAAATCTTCACTCTGTTCCAGCACCTCACTGTATCACAATTACTCTACCTTTTGCTCAAAATCCAAACTTTGAACACTCCATTCTTCCTAATATACTCTGTCATGAATTAAAGGAGTTTTTTTAGAACATTGTCTATCTCCATAGCTTTAACAGAAAAATATTTCAGCTTATAAAGCATCTCCTTATTCTCTCTTCCCCATTTAAAACTTAACTCTTTTCTTCACTGTCTTTGGTTTTATGATGTCTCCTTCATGTTGATTGTCTCTCTCTCTGTCTCTCTGAGAAAAAGGAGTAATCTGCACGTTTTATCTAGGTGTGATAAATATAGCATTGGATAAAAATTCGTGAAGGAGAATAATGAATTATATGTTATATTTGTAATACTGTAAAGATACAAAATGTAAAATAATCCAGAGATTCCTTCCCGAGTTGGGCAGTAAGGATCAACGGGCGACGCTTATCAGCACAAAATAAAGAGCAGGACACGAGCAATCAAACCGGACAATAAGAGTGGCCAGGTCGAGATATCCATCTCCTCCGCACCCAAACTGGCCACTCCACCCCGGGAGATGCAATCAGAAGACACTCAGAGCCATTCGCGTGTGAAAGGATTCTGCCCCTTCGACCATTGACTCAGCTCATCCGGGAAGTCTATTCACCCACACATCTAGACTCTTTGTTGGACTGTGCCCATCCCGGGTTTTGCCTCAGGATACAAAAATCCTTATAAAAACCCCGGACCGCAGTCCCTTCTTCATGGATTTGGGAAATCTGTACCTCTGGGTACAGACCCCTGTCCACCCGGCGCTGCGCTGATTTATTTATTGTGCTTTTTCTCTTGTTGCTTGTAATTGAAATTATTTTATAAAAAATCGCTTTTTATATTAACCCTATTTTGCCATTGCATTTATAACAGAGGTAGTAAAAGAATTACAGTCTTGGAAAAGCTGCAAGAGTTCATGGTGTCAGGTTTCAGTCCGGCAGCAGAAACTACAAACCAAACCAGACCAGGCCGGCTCCGTTTCTCTCCCCCCCCACCCCGCACTCTGCGGCCTTGTCCAGCCTGGAGGGGGAGGGAAAGAGGCTGAGACAGAGCCTGTTACCTTGTCAGAGGCCAGAAACCCAAAAAGAACAAGAGAGCTCTGGCTTTACCTCTTAAGGCGATGTTCACAAGTTGATCTCACTTTTCAATGGTCAAAACTGCTGTCAATTCTTAGAAGTGACCGATAATTGGTCAGGAGAAAAGACTCCCATCAGCCACCAGCAGCTTTAACTTCTTTAGCTCTCAAATCTATCTTAAAGGTAAAGTCACCCCATGACAGACCCCCAAGACTCACCCCTCTCCTGGACCCAGATGATCTGGACATAGAACTGGGCATAGAGCAGATGATCAGGAAATAGAAAACTACCCCAAGACAGCCCTGCAGAGGGACCCATACAGGCTGGATTGATGGGCCAACACACCAGTAGTGTGAGGGTGCTCAACAAGGCCAAGTGCCAGATCCCTACACTTTGTCCACAACAACCCCCTGCAGCTCCAGGCTGGGGCAGAGTGACTGGAAAGTGTCCGCTGGGAAAGGCCCTGGGGGTCCTGGTGCCAATGGCTGGACAGGAGCCCAGGTGTGCCCAGGTGGACATGAGGCCAATGGCCCCTGGGCTGTGCCAACCATGGTGTGGCCACAGAGGCCAAGGGCAGTGGCTGTCCCCTGTGCTGGCACACTGAGGACACACCCTGTTCCTGCACAGCTGAGGGACTTGGAGTGCTGTGTCCAGTTCTGGGCTCTCGTGGCCAGAGAGATCTTGAGGGGCTGGAGTGGGTCCAGGGAAGGGCAACAAAACTCATGAAGTGCCTGAAGTGTATGTGTTACGAAGACTGGCTGAGTGAGCTGGGGTTGTTTAGCCTGGAGAAAAGGAGACTCAGGGGTGACCTGAATGCTTTGTACAGCTCCCTGACAGCAGAGTATGGCCAGGTGGGGGTTGGGCTCTGCTCCCAAGCAAGCAGTGATAGGACAAAGGGACATAGTCTTAAGCTGTGACAGGGGAGGCCAAGGTTGTTAATTAGGAAGAAAGGGTATTCACCCTTCTCCGAAAGGGTGATTAGATATTGGAATGGGCTGCCCAAGGAGGTAGAGTGGAGCCTTCCTCACACCTTTATTGCTTTGCCTACCCGTCCATTGTCTTCTCTTTCCTTCCTTTCCCACCCCTCCCTTGCATTTCCTTGCTGAAAGTCAAGGGAGGGATAGGCAAGTCAAGGTAAGAGACGTGGGAAAAGCAGGTAACGGATGGAGTAGCCAAGGAAATGGAGGGTCAGGCAAGGCAAGGGCAAGATAAGGAAGGGGCAAAACAGGAGAGGGAAAAGTAGGGGCAAGGGAAGGGAAAGGCAAGACAAGGAAAAGCCAAGCAAGAGATGGGAAAGGGAGAGGCAAAGGAGGAACATAGGAGGGGCAGGTCAATGCAAAGCAAGAAAGGGGAAAGGAAAAGAGAGGGGCAAGGGAGGGGCAAAGCAAGAAAGGGTAAAGGGATGGGCAAAGGAAGGGCAAAGCACAGCAAAGGGGGATAAGGGACAGGGAGGGGAGCAAGGAAAGAGAGAGGGGACAAGGAAATGCAATGGATGACTAGGCAGTTTAAGGTAAAGTAAGCAAAAGGCAGGCAAGACAACAGCAGGGCTGGTAAGTCAAAGTAAAGAAATGGAGGTGTAAGCAAGGCAAGGGAAGGACAAGCAAGGCAAAGCAATGGAACATTAAGCAGTTCATAGCAAGGTAAGGGAGAGGTAGGCAAGGCAAGGCAAAGGAGCAGCAAAGCAAGGTGGGTGAGCAAAGAGTGTGAGCAAGGCAAGGGAGGGATAAGGCAAAGGAGGGGCAACAAATGGAGGGGCAAGGCAAAGCAAGGTAAAGTAAGAAAAGCAAAGCCAACCAAGGGAGGGGAAAGGAAGGACAAGGACAAGGCAAAGAAGAGGCAAGGTAAGGTAAGGGAGGGTAGGGTAGGGAAAACAAAGGCAAGGAAAGTGAAAGCAATGCAGGAACAAGGCAAGGAAGGGGCAAGGAAGGCAAAACAATGGAGGGATAAGGCAAGGGAGAAGTGTCTTCGCTTAAAAGACAAATGCCTGCCAAGGAAGATGGGAACCATTGTGGAATGGAAAGAAAACTTCTTCCAAATTACTGTAACTTCAAAATTATGGGGCATCCAGGCAAAAATGTAGGAAAAGGAGTAACCGTTCTTTACTAGAAAAAAACCTAACATAACAACAAAACAGTAACAGAAACTTCCCACGTGCTAAATACCATTTTTCTTCTTCAGTTATGTAGTTATGACTACACTAGGCAGGGGGTGCTGGCACACTCTGGGAAGCAGAGGCTGCAATGGCTCAGTCACAGCTGGCAGGAGTGCTGGCAGCTCTGCTGGGGCAAAAGCTGCAGTGATCCTCTTACAGCCAGCACAGGGAGGGAAGGAAGAAAATTTCTCCTCCTGCAAACTCACATGGGTGGCAACTGGTCTTGGCACTGCAAACAGCAGCAGGCACAAGCTGAGGGAGGTAGGATTGAGGCCTCAATCATATTGCTGAGCTACTGTGCAGAAAGAGATCTGGCTGAGACTGCCTGGCTCCAGGCAACACCCATGCAACTGCTCTGAATCCCCCAGCAAAAGGAAGGACCCACCTGCACCCAAGTCTCGGGTCAGACCTTTCACAGCACCAAGCCACAACTCTTGAAGAACCCCAAGCAGAAAAGCCCATCCCCCAGCCAAAGCTCCCCAACCCCAAAATGACTCCACTGGAATGCCAGGGCCATCGGACACTTCCTATTGTGTCTTGATCACTATTCACCCAGAAAGCCGCCTCCTCCCCCTTCTGGGGAAGAAATTCAGAGGAACCTAAATCCACTACAAGGAGCAAGTCCAAACAAGGCAAGGCAAGGGAAAGGCAAGGCAAGAAGGGGCATGGGAAGGACAGAGAGCAGCAATGCCATGGAGGGACAAGGCAAGGCAAGACAAGGCCAATCGAGGGAGAGGCAAAACAAGGCAAGGGCAGGCAAGACAGGGGCAACAAAAGGCAAGGAGGGGAAAGGCAGGAGCAAGTTAAGGCAAGGCAAGGAAAGTAAAAGGCTTTTACTTTCAAACTGGCAAGGCAAGGTATAGGCAAAGGAAGGAACGCAAAGAGTAATGGGGGGAAAGGGAGGGAAAAGGCAATGGAGAGGTCATGGAGGACAAAGCAGCAGGGAGGGAAGAAGGGGCAACAGAAAGGCAAAGCAAGGGAAGGCAAGGGAAGGGAATAAAAGGAAAATGACAGCAAGGCAAGGGAAGGGTAGGCAAGAAAGGGCAATGGAGGGGTAGGCAAGGCAAGAGAGGAGTAGGCAGTGCAAGAGATGGGTAGGTAAGGCAAGAGAGGGGAAAGGCAAAGAAGGGGCAAGGGAGGGACAAGGCAAGAAAAGGGAAGGGAAAGAGTGGAATATGGCAAGGATGGAGCATAGGATGGGAAAAGAAAGGAAAGTGAATGCAAGGCAAGGGAGGGGCATGAGTGGGGCAAGGATAGGAAAGGCAAGGGAGAGGCAATGTAAGGGAGGGGTAGGGAAGGCACAGCAAGGGAGGGGTATATGGGGTATTGCAGGGGATGGCAAGGGAGTGATAGACAAGGTGAGGCAAGGGACGGGTCAACAAGCCAAGGGCAAGGAAAGGCAAGGCAATGGAGGGGCAAGGCAAGGAAAGCAAGGAGAAGCAAGGCAACGGAATGGAGAGGCAAGGTGAGAAAACACAAGAAAGGCAAGGGAAGCGCAAGAAAAGGCAAGAAAAGGCAAGAAAAGGCAAGAAAAGGCAAGAAAAGGCAAGAAAAGGCAAGAAAAGGCAAGAAAAGGCAAGAAAAGGCAAGGAGGGGTAAGTCATAGGGGCATGGTAAAGAAAGAAAGGGTGAGGGAAGGCAAGGCCAGGCAAGGGAGTGCCATAGGAGGAGCAAGTCAATACAAGGCAGGAAAAGGGAAAGGAAAGAGAGGGGCAAGGGAAGAGAAAAGCATGACAAGGAAAGTAAGGGGTAACATAGGGACAAGTCAAGGGAGGGGAAGGGAAAGAAAGGCAAGAGAGCGATAGATAAGCCAAGGCAAGGGAGGGGCAAGCAAGGCATGACAATGAAAGAAACTGTAGGCAACACAAGGTAGGAGAGGCAAGGCAAGGAGTGGGAAGGGTAGGCAAGTCAAAGCTTGTTGAATCAAGACAACATCAAATGTGTATCTTCTTCAGGCTGGCCATCTCCAATCAGAGGTCTCTGAGAAGGGGTGCTTGGGCACAGGGGCCTTAACTTGGGTGCTTAGTTAGGGATAGTTCTCATTCATGCCTTGGAGAGTTTTCAGACCAAACCAGCACACAGGGGAAAAATCCTGTAAACTCTGCTGATAAATACGCATTAAGTGCCCTTGCACAGAGGGTTCCTGTGCACAAACACCTGTGAATGGTACCAGATGATACTGTAAGCCAAACCAAGTCGTTATGTAAATTGCAAAGTAGTAGTCTTAAGACCGCATATGAGCAAACAAGAGTGGTAACGTGGCAAAACAAACAAAAAGGCAAAAAGTAGCTTTTTTCAATGCAACAGATTAGTAAGATAAAAGGAAAATATCAGTGACATTCATACAAACTTGTCAATTTACACCAACAAAGCTCAGCAAAACTTGACTGATCTCAGAGGTAGAGTCGCTTTATCTTCCAGACAGATGCTTCCCACCAATCATTCCAACGCTGAATTGCCAGCAGCTGAGCTGCACTTTCTTCCTTGACCTGGGCAAACATCTCTTCAACTTTACTTTTGTATTTCTGTAGAAGAAACCCCAGCAATTAAGGACAAAATTGCTAGTGACAAAATGTAATTTTATTTGCCCAAATCCAGGTCCTGATCTATTATAACAGAAGACTGTATAGAGGCCACTTATTTTTTTTTCCTTTGAGAACAGAACTATATGAATAATTAATTATTGGCTGTGCTCCTTTTAAAGACTTCTGAAATTAAATTAACAGCAATATTTAAATTTTGCTAAAATGCAAGATCTTCACCTCACTACCATTACTTCCCAAGGGTAGGGAGTTCCCTTCTCTCAAGACCCAAGTATGCATCTCCAACACAGGATGCACTTGGGCTCTTGGTGGAGCTTCTGTACTCAAAAGTATGAACTCAACTATTACAAAACTGCTAAAAACCTCTAGACAGAAACTTGTAAACTACCATAAAAACCTCACAGCACTTTAATATTCTTACAGTCCATGCTCTAAAACATAAAGTACTGTGTTTTTAATGCAACACACATGCAGGAAAATACTACTGTGGCATGTGTGCATTCTATATCCAATCCTTCTATCTAACCATTTGTATCCAAATAACCACATTCCCTTCAAATCTGTGCTGTAATAAGCTTCTAGGGCAGCAGAACTAGATACATAAAACACACATGCAAATTGATAGTTTTGATGGCATTTGCTGTCATTGACAGTATATTTTACATTCCCCTGTTAAAACCAGATATTTTAAAAAAGTTAATTTAGTTCAGTGGGAGTACAGTTACTTCTAGGTCAGATGCATAAACACATCTCCAAGTGATTTAATGTAAAATATTCTCCTAACTGCTGAGCACTGCTGTTTTGAAAACCATTGTCTGTGCCAGTCAGAGACTCAGAGTTGTCTGCATTCTTTTAACAGACTCAGTGAAGAAAGAGTGATCATTTTTATGGTGGACACAGTCATCTGTGATAGTTGCAGATATAAGAAAGGTAAGAAGTATTTTACACCTCTTCATCTTTTATGGGAAAACCAGCTTTTGTGATCTAAGGCTGGAGGTATAGGCTTCAGAAAGATAGGTAAATGAGAACAAGCAGGACTGGAATGGCACTGGGCACAGCTGCTTTTGGAACTATGATGCTGCCAAAATGCAGTGTCCTGTTTCTGACATCATCCATGCTTGTCTGCTGAAACAATTCCCCTTTGTCATGTCTCTGAACAAGAAGACTCCCTGAGAAACTAACCCTGTTTCTGATAGCATCATGAAGGAATGGACATGAGAAAGGATTTCTACACACAGATAATAGGGCCTTAAGATCTGCAAACACTGTGTATGCTAAAAACTTACACACACAACTAAGATTCTATAATTGTCTTCTTAAAAAACCAAACCCACAACAGCAGCAGCCCCCTCAAGAGTCCTTCCCCACAGACCCACCTTATATGCAGCTTGTCTTGCGTCCACCACTGCCAGATGGCCCAGGGTTGTCTTAGCTGTTGAAACTGATGCAGTTCCTCTGCAAAGAGTATAGTCTGGAGTGTCAGGAAGAGTAGTCTCAGGTATTCCTGGCCAACTCCTATAAAAAAAATCAAACCAACCAAAAAACACACGAGAAAAGAAGTTAGAAAAGAGAACAGATCATACTAATTCACTTTACTTGTACTAAGGTACCAAAGATCAATGTTATTTTTTTTCCACAAAAGGTTTACCTTAAAAAGTCTTTGTTTAGTACAACCACCTTTTCTTTTAAAGCATCAGGATCTCTCCACTGTAAAGAATTCATTTAGTCTGAATGACAATACACAGACTATTCATAGCTCTGAATGGAATGAATTGATAACTAGTGACAGGCAAATGGCATAGCAATAGCAGTGATGTGGTATTGTTTTACAATATATGTAATTCACTTTTATTTGGATCCACTGCAATTCTTTCTTTAAAATCATTACCCACTCAAACTACCTTATTGCTAGTTCAATGACATTACTAATGAAGAGCAGCAGTTTCAATAAGTGCAGCAAAAAACTATGAGGACAGGTCCTGTTATCAGTTCAGAGCAGAGGAATTAGACAGAACAGAGTTCAGTATCTCCAAATACTACCTCCTTCCTCGTTTGAGTAACTGTTGCACTTTGGATGTTCCTAGAGGAAGTCCAGACTGTTTACGATGCATTAAAGTTGATGTCTTCTCTGTAGGTATTTCAGTTCCTGGGAGGTAACAGAAGATATGCTCAGCAGGAACTAACCAATGTCAGGAATACAATTGCTTTGGAGTAATTGTGCAGTTCAATGCTCTTCACACTCAAGAAATAGCTTTGCATCCTTTATTATGCAAATTTTTTAATGTAAAATACCGTAGCATATCAAAGCCTCCTCTTCCTAGGGACACTGTTGCTATCTTTGACAAGGGAGAGGAGGCCTGAACAAGCAATGTCTTCTTTTCTTACCTGCTACTTTTACATCATCAACAGTGATGGTTTCATCCAGTTCCAAGAGGAGCTTTTCAGTGAGGGCAGCCAGTGCAGAAAAAAAGCTCTGAGCACACTCAGCAGCACAATCCTGTTTCAACATTGGAGACAAACAAGAGGAATTCCTTTGATAATTTGATCTCCTCTCCTTTTAAGTTGGATCTGAAAGACTACACAAATACCAAACCCTAGCATTCTGCAGCAGCTGCACATAACAGACATAAGGCTCAAAGTTGCACATAAAAGGGTCTCAAAGTGTCTCTGCAGTATTCTTAACGTTGCCTGATTATCTAAAATTCAAAATACTGTTTTGTGTATAGGTACCTAGTAGTTATATATTTGGGTTAAATGTGATAAAACCAGTTTATAGCCAAAGAGAAAATAATTTTGGAATTTGAGTATTTTGGGTGGAAGTGCCTAGCCCAGATGTTCCTCTTAAACAGGGTTTCTGTGTTTCTGTGTCTGTATGCAGAGCTAGGAATAGAAGGAGTACTACTTTGGAATTCAAAATACCAGTACTCTGCAGACAGTATAGAATACAGAATAAGTGGCCTGAGAGAACTAAACAATGGGCTTTAATGCTGGGGAACCAACCTTTAATTAACCCAGGGGGCAAAGGGGAGAAAGTATTTTGATTGCTGAATCTCTCCTGTAAATTCAGCTTATTTCAGTTATTCATCTTGTGTAGAAAAGTGACAATTATTTGCACTAATAGAATACACAGAGAAGAAACTCTTCCAGGTATCTGTTGTCTTGAAGTAAGAGAACAACCAGAGGATGTCACCACCACAGCCAATACTCCCACCCACCATTAAGCTCATAGTCAATAGGTTCTATGAATGATACAAAATACAGTTAAGTTCTACAATGTATCTCAGCACTTCTATGTATGCAGATATATTTATGTCTATATTGATCTAATGCTGACAGTACATCACTTAAAAGTTTAGCAATACATGTGCAGGATTGCCTAAACTTAAAAAAATTTCAAGTTTCCTTTGGATGGTGTCTTCAGTTGCAATAAAAGATTTAACAAAAAGTACATATTCTATTACCATCTGTTAAAACCTGGTGCTGCAGTGTTCTTTACCTCTTTCATGACCCATCCCTCATAACTCATATCATAAGAGATATCTTCTCTTAATGGCCCAGCTGTTAAAACCTACTGTGGCAGTGTTCTTTATCTCTTCCACAACCCATCCTCCATCCAGGGGGATATCTTCTGTTAACGAGCTATTAATTCTCACTGCAAGACTGATAAAATTACATCATCCCATTGTGAGATGCTCCACCCAGAGGGAGGAGCCAAGTATTCCTACCTGGATATAGTCTGAGACTTGGAACACCACAAGCAGCCTTTCTCCACTGAATTCCCAGAGGAAGACTGGATCCACCTACACCACCAGACCTTCAGAGGAAAACTACACCCTTTCTATGGAATCATTGCTTCAACAGAACCACATCTGTCACTCCAGGAGGACTGCAGCCACTATTTAATCAGACTGCTACCAACACCCTGACCAACAGGGTGTCAGGTTGTACACTGATTCTGTCAGTGGATTCTTTTTCTTTTGTTTTTGTATTTTTTTATTTTTATAAGGAAGGTTTCTGCCCTCCTTAGCAGACACCTGTCTTTTCAAACCAAGACAGATGGGGAGGAAAAATGTATCCAAAATACACTCTCCTTTCCAAATGCAACATTTAGGTTCATATTAAGCAAGGGCTTTACAATTACCTGCAGCATCTTTGTGTTGAGGTGAATACCATCAGTTTGATCTTTTTGCCTTTTTATTTCCTCTTGGCACAAAGCCTCCAGCTGAAGGGAGTTATTTGGATGTCCTATGGAGTAATGTAATTTTCTCCGATGCACAGTCTTTAATCAAATATGTAAAGAAAGAAATGCCTTCAGTAAAGAATGTACTGACAGCCATAAAAAGGAAGTAGACTACAAACATTTTCTATAAAGGTATTCAGAGAGACAAGGAAAATGGAGCTACTTCTTGGCTGTCTGGATATAAACTCTGCAGTACAATATGCACCAAAATGCCTCTCTGCTGGCCTCTGCTCTCATTTTGGGATTTATTTTCAACAAAAAATCATTTACCACGTGGTAAGTAAGATATTTTTTATATCTCAATATGTGTAATATTTTTAATACTCAAGGTGTAATCTCAAGACACTGTAGCATTTTCTACGTGATCTCCATTATGATTCTGTTCTCAGTTCTGATATTATTTGACAAAATATGCCACTTCTATGAATGATGGTAAATAACAGTATTTCATTATCCCTACATCATCGTTCTTACAAAGGAGTGCACCCATACNAAATCCAACCCCTAAATCCACCCTGGGACCCCTAAAATTCCACCTGGTCTTCAACGTCCCCTTGGGCCCTATCCCAAACATCCATTGTGATTCTTCAATCCCCTCGAGACTCAACAAGTTACCCCTCCAGAACCCCAAATCACCCCCTGGGACTCCTCAAGACTACCCTCTTCTCCCAGGCCCCCCTCTCAACCCTTCTAGCCCTTGTCCTCCTTGTCCTTTTTTCTTGTCCTCCCTGTCCTCATGACATGGTGAGCCTGTACTCCCTCAACATCCTTGTATACCCCCCCAATGTCCTTCTGTGGTTTCAGACACCCTTGTGTCCCACCACCTTCAGAGGCTGCATGGATTGGGTGTTCCCGGTGCCCTTCCCCCTGTGCTGGCACTGTCCCTACTGTCCCATGGGAGTGTCCCCAGGAGACCGTCCCAGTGTTCCCATGCCCAAGGGTGTTCCTAAGATGTTTTCAAAGTGGTGTTTCCCTCCTGTTTCCCACTTGGGGTCTCAAAAGGATGTCCCCATCATGGTGTTCCCACATCCCCACTCCCCAGTGTATCCCCAGATGTCCTTGTCCCCAGTGTTCCTGTCCCTGGGGTGTCCCCAAAGTGTCTCCAGAGTGAGCACAAGGTTGTCCCCAGGTCCCTGAGATGTCCCCAGGACAGTGTCTCCATGTCTCCAGAGTGTTTCCAGGGTGCCCCAGCCTGGGGTGATTCCCCCACATTCCCTAAATGTTGTTCTGATGTGCTCCCACTGCCTGTGACCCCAGTGTCCCCATGTGACCCCCTCCCCTTCTGCAGGTGCAGGAGCTCTGCCTACTCTTCATCAGCGGGGTCAATTACCGTTGGTAGCGTATGGCCCTGCTGGCGCTGCAGGAGGTAGGGGTCTGGGGACCCAGGCATGGTGGAGGGGGGTCACAGAGTGGCTGGAGGGGTACTATGGGTGCAGTGCAGGTATCCAGGAGGCTTAGGGGGGTGAGGGACTGAGGGGAATCTCAGGGGTCTGAGAAGGTTTCCATGGGGGTTGGGTGTTCTGCAGGGGAACCTGTGGATGCTGGGGGTGTCTCTAGGGGGATGGGGAGGCCCTGGAAGATCTCTGGGTGCTTGGATGGAGCTGAGAGGTTTGTTGGGAGTGTCTGATGGGAGCGGAGGAAGAATCTAGGAGGGTCACCATGGGCTGTAAGAGGTCTCTGGCTTCTGGAACAGGGTTCCATGGATGTTGAGAGGGCCTCTGGGACACCTCTGGGTGCAGGGTGATCCCGTATTCCTGGGGTTTGTCAGGGAATGGGGATGGGTCATGGTGTTGGTCCTCCCTCACACATTTATAGGCACAGGGTGTTTCAGTCCCTGCAGTTGCCCATGGGTGGGTATGGAAGGACCCTGCCCCCTGGAGGTCTGTTTTGGGGGGTTGCTGCCCCCAGGGGGAGCTGTGAGGGTTAGGGCATGGATGGGGGATTTTAGGAACCCTCTCTCAGCTTTTGGGACACAGACAGCAGAGGCCTTTGCCATGTAGCTGCTGGAAGACACATACCTGTGCTCACTGCACATCCATCAAGTCACCCTGTTCCCCAAAGATCTGCAGCTGGCCAGGGACTTGTGGAGAGTAGAGGGGATGGCATCTGAATGGGGACTCTCCTGAGCCCCTGCACAGAGGCTCAACCCCCCAGAGTTGTGTACCATGACCCCCACCCTGGGACTCTCTCCTGACAATCTAACACCTCTAATCTTACTGGGATCTCCTTTCAGACCATCATGCTGGGACCCACATCCATGGGGTCCCCCAAGCTGAGGCCCTGACATGTCTAATCAGATTTGGGATACACTTTCCCAAGGACCGCCATGTGGACTGTCCTAGTTTAGGGCCAATTTGGGAGAAAAAATCTAAATGGGGGTTTTCCAAGGGAAAAAAATTCAAATGACCCCTCCCCCCCAACTGATCCAGGAAAGGAAAAAATTTATTTGGAAAGGAGTGGAAAAAGCTGTTTATTTAACAGAAATTGGATAATATTAAATAATAAAACTTCTTGCTGTTAGATGGAATGCCAATTCTAGGAAGAAAAGTCCTTTTCACGTGGTGTAGCTCTGCTCACTCAGTTTCTTATTAGTCCCTCCGGTGCTGGAAAGTGCTGAGGCCCAGGCCCCAGTGGGCCACAGGCGTGAGCTCCCGGGGTTTGGCTGGGTGTTTTTCAGTCCAAAGCAGGTTTGCACAGATCCAGGAAAAAAAGAATAAAAGGAGATCCAGGAAACTCCTCTGCCTCAGCTAGCTAAAACTAAGTAAAAACCAGAGAGAAGCTCTGTCCCACTGTCTCTCCGTGCTGCAGACAACACAGTCCAGAAGCAGGATGTGGGGGAGTGATGCTTTTCTTTAACACACACTGTGCACTTCTTCTTTCCCCGCCTTCGCTCTCAGAGACAGCCTTATAGGTGCAGAAGTTAATATATAACATAAACTAGATAACTGGGGATACCAGTATCATAAAGTCATCCCAGGAGATGGACCCACCCCACAGACTCCCCGCTATTGGACCCCCACTTCAGGATCCCTGACAACCCCTTCAGGGACCCATCCCAGGGTGGAGGTCTTTTTCCTTAGTCCAGTACCTCTCAGATTATTGAGGATCACTAGCCATGATCCCCTGGGACCTCCTCAATAGAATGTGAGTCCCAGGGAGACCCACCCAGGCTCTCCACCGTACTGGAGACCCAGTTCTGCTGCACCCCAATAAATGAATATTTGTGACCCCTAGGTGCTATTGTCAGAAAGGATGGAGGGGATTTGGGGGTGAGGTACTCCAGGGGGGAGCTCTAGAAGGGAGGAGAATCCACAAGGAGGGGGGCTCTAGGAGTATTTTGGGTGAGGACACCTGGGATGGGGGCCAGGAAGGTCTTGGGGCTTCAGGGGTTCCATTTATAGTGATGGGGTTGGTCACCTACGGAGAAGTGCTTAAGTGGTTCACTTTCCGAGCAGAGTCAGGGCTGTAGCGGTGGTGCTTAGAGGTGGTTTGAAAGTGGGTAGGGCTGCCTGTGGAGGGCAGGGCTTAGAAGCCCTCCGTTAATATGGAGTGGCCTGTGAGGGCGGGCCTCTGGAGGTCCCCCACCCATGGGTGGAGTTCTGGGGGTGAGGCTTCAGTGGGGTCCCCTCCATGGGGCAGGGCTTTTGGCCATACTTAGCGGGTGGGGCTCGTGAGGCTTCCGGGTGCTCCCAGCCTGCTGTTCCCACTGCTGCCACTCAGGGCACTGCTGAGCGGGGAGGGGTGGGAGCGCTTCCACAGCAGGGGGCGCTCTGCTTGGCTGGTGCTGTGCCTGCACCTGAGGACACAGGAGTGACCCTAGAGCAGACCCAACCCCAACCCTACCCTGGGGACCCCAAATCTCCCCTTTCTGCATGACTTGATATCGTGGTTTTAAAGCAGTAACTAAAAAATTACTAGAAAACTTACTTATTTCTTGCTGTGAGATATGGATTAGAACAAAAGCAAAACAGGCTTAAAACTTAAAAGGAATAAAGAAAGTTTATTAACAAAACTATAAGAATAAGAACACCAGAATAAACTTCCAGAAAACTCCTTTATCCCCCACTACCCAACCATTTCCTTGTTCACATGACAATATAGAGACAAAAACTTTGGAACTTCGGTGTTTAATACAGTCTCAATTCCTGCTAGAGTTTTTTCATCAGCCTTTGTAGAGAAACAAAAGACTTCTTCTGCTAATCTACGGAGTTTCTCACAAGAAAGCTATTTCTGTTATAGCTTTCTATTTTTCTGATGCCAACTGACCGGAAATCTTGTCATCAGTTCACTCTTCCCATTTCACATCACTCTGAAGTGTGTATGGGTCAATGAGTCTAGGGATGTCATTTTTAAAGATGAATTATTCAAAGGCAAAAGTTCTCTTCATCTGTCTCTGTGAGCTTCCCTGGAAACAGAAGTTTTCTCTTTGCCTCTCAAAAGCCTCAAATCTTCAACTATTACTTCTCCCCACTCTGTTCCAGCATCTCACTGTATCACAATTACTCTACTTTTTGCTCAAAATCCACACTTTGAACACTCTATTCCTCCCTATATACTCTGTCATGAATTAAAGGAGTTTTTCAGAACACTATTGTCCATCTCCATAGCTTTAACAGAAAAATATTTCAGCTTATAAAGCATCTCCTTATTCTCTACCTCTTCTGAAGTTTAATTATTTTCTTTACTGTCTCTAATAGCTTATAAAGTCTCTTTACATGTTGATTACTCTCTTTTTCTTTCTCTGGAAAAAAGGATTAATCTGCAAGTCTCATCTGGGTAATGAAAAGTTAAAATCTTGCCCAGGCTTTGTAGTTGGTTCTCTGATCTCTGCCGGAGCAGCAGCTGGAGTTGTCTGTGATGGAAGATTCTTCATGGCTGCTCTGGAGAGTGTGGTCACTGTCTTCAGCCCGCCACAGGTCAAGAGCTTTTTCTTTCTTTACTCGGCAGTCTCTGGTGAATTCAGTCACAGCAAAAACTGCAGCCGAGCCAGGGAGCGGCCTGGCCCGGCCAGAGCCCGGGGCAAGCCCCGCAGGCCCCATCTCCCGGCCGGGAGCTGTGGCAGGCCCAGCCCAGCCCCTACCCAGGCCGCATGGCCTGGACAGGGGACGGGAAGCCAGCTATAGTTCAGTTACCTTTCAGAGCCAGGAAACCAAGAGACAAAGAAATTCCCAGGCTTAGGTCTTAAGGTGGTGTTCACAGGTTGATACCATTTTTCAATGGTTAAAACTGCTGTCAATTCTTAGAAATGGCCAGCTGTTGG